AAGGCGCGTTTAAGCAAACGGTATAGACGTATCTTTCGGTACGTTTTATGCGAAAGGCATAGTTCTCCTGCTCATAAATTCAAAGAATCGAAATAAACTGGTTTGTAACAGGTACGCTAGGAAGAATCGCGTTCAGGAATGTTTCGAGTACACAAAGCGATAAACTTAGAGATTCTAGACCGCGGGAATTCCCTCAGAATCTGAGGATATCTGTTTCATATTATGAGAGAACGCCAATTTCCTAAACTTCAAAAAGACACACGGTGAAGCACGCTTCCAGACGCAGCAAACTTCATAAAGTGAAAAAAATTGAGATACACAAAACGGTGTTCGAAAGCGGCAGTATTGAAAAAAAAAATCCGAAATAGCGAATTTGCAGAACTTTTTGTATGTCCATGACAGACTGAAGCCCGATTAGGCACTGCACAGCCCACGCTATTTAAATAGATAGGTACGACGTGCACGAGATTTCACAGCCACGACAAAGTACAATCTTCAGGCTCGGGAAAAAGAATTAGCCTAGATGTAGACGAAACTAGTTTACATGCGGCGCAGAAAACTGCAGCCCGATTCCAGGGTGGCTTCTCCACATGACACAAGAAAAGAAAAAAAAAAATCCGATGTAGGAAGGGAATCACCGGCTCAGCGAACGAGAACCACTGCGGAGCCAGAGATGGGGAGAAGATGGAATACCTAGGCATGACCGGAAGCCACGATATATGCTAATCTCCGCCAGCCCCGAGACGGGCCACCCTGTATAACGACCATCGCGAGGCACCCCTCCCCCCCCCCCTTTCCGATGCACCACCGTATAGATATAAATCGCACGCAAAAAGCAGAAGCCCATCGAGCCGCGCCGCAATCCAGCTGGCTTCCCGAGGAAGTCGGGATCAAACGCCGGATCCCCTGGGCGACTAAAACCCGTGGACAACTCGCGTGTGCATCCTCGATCTGGCGAATTTCCCGTCCCCTGTCCCTCCCCCTTCCCTCCTTTCGTCGCACCCCGAGCCTACGACGAACGCCATGCACGGATACCAGGCACTTCCCTCACGCTTGCCTGACCGCCCGCCCGCGCAATAAAACCGGCATTTTTATGGCCGTCACGGGCCTGTTAATGGCCGCCGATAAGCTCGAATTACGTGATTTGTCGCTATCGCAACGCACGCGCGACCGAGCGCGCACCCTGGGTTCGGGAAAATTCAAAACGGCCGTTCCGGCATGACGCCTTTGCTGCTGCGCCGCACTGCTCGTAGTAGCCGCAGAGAAGCCATCTCGTCAGGGCACCCCCTCGCGTCACGTTGCCATTCATCTCCGCTCAATATCATACGTAGACCACAGTGGCACGTGCGGACGGGGGGGGGGGGGGCGCTCGCCGTTAAGGGTCCCCCTCATTGAGTCATCGGGCAAGGAGGACTATGACGCCGGTACCGCGAGGTGTCAGGGGTAGCAATGCGGGGTACGACCGCATAGTAACTCGTTTTCCGGTGCGCATGCAGAACCGTCTTATTACGGCGCGATACGACTGCAGCGAGAACCCACCTAGTATAGCGAGTTGTAGTCTGAATTATGTCAAAATGCGTTTCACGAAGGCAGCATCTAATTCAGTATGCTGCGAAATCACTGCGGCCTCTAAAAGCCGGCTGAAATGACGATAACATGTTAAAATACTATCTCACATCTTGAAAAATCTTTTTTTTTATTCGGCAAAACACTGCCGTCGAAGACCTGACATTTCGTGTTACACAAAGCGCGCGATTATAGCTGCGGGGTAGAGCGGAGACACCAGGCGATGCACACTACCGCAATTGGCTCGACAGTTTTTGGCGCATTACCACAATAAGTATACGCTCTCGGTACAAAAATCCCAAGCATTTATAGGACACTATGCAAACATGCCTTGAGCTTAGACGAGTTTCTTTTAGGCCACTTCTTGGCCGAACGAGAAGAGTACACACGGTGAAAGCGGCGTCGGCAGTAGTACCCAACCTCAATCCTTCAGCGAACGCATGTACGCATAAGGATCGAGATCGGGTCAGTAAAGTTTTTCCTGAAATGAGGCATCAGTGGATCTGATAGGCATCTGGGCGAGGAGGCTGCAACTGAGTTCCCAAGCCTTTAGCGGACCTTAACAATGCCGGCATGTTCGCAGCGTTTGAATTAACAAAAGAAAGAGCGCAACACTGTACACGTTTGTCTAGACAATGTCGAGTTTACAATAACAAAGCCGCGAGACCCGAAGTAAAAAAAAAAAAGAAAAACGAGGCGAACTATAGCGACAGAGAAGAGCACACTGCTTTCGACGGTTGCCGCAACTCGTCAAGTGCGCGCACCTCGCCTCTTGCGTTCCTCGCCTTGCGTACACACAAGACACTGCGGACCGAGAGGGAATTCGGAGAAGAAGAACAAAGCAAACAAGGAGCCCGCGTGCTTGTTCCGCCGGTCTCACTCTGAAGAAGAAGCGGCCGAGACTCTTTTAGCGCGCGCTTGCGCGTCCACCGCTCTTGGGTAAACGTGCGAATGCCGCAACGAGGTACGGTTGCGAAAACACGGCGTTCCGCTGGAAGCGCGTCTGGTAAATAGGGACGCCGAAGCAAAAAAAAAAAAAATAAAAAAAAAAAACAAAGTCGAGCAAGACGTCGCCACCACGGAGCACGCACTTGAATGCTCTGTCGCGAACGCGGCGAAAGAGAACCATCTAAAAAATTAAGTGGCGCCTTAACGCGCGCGCGCGATCAAACTTGTTCGCGAGTCTCGTGTGTGCGCGCGTTAATTTGCACTTCGCGCGATTGCGCCGTGAATTAACGCTAACTCGCGGGGGAGGCTGGTTTAATTCGGCGTTTTCTGGTGCGGTGTTTCTTTTTTTTTATTTTTCTTGTCTGCCGTTCAAAAGACAAGACGGTTGATTTCAACCAGTATTTTACTATACTAATTACTTCCGCCTTCGTGAACGTGCCTATACTGCTTGTCAAATGCGCATCGCCATAACTAGCAACGCTCGGACCACCAACTTTCCTGTTTTTTTTTCTTACTTTACCACGACACGACATCGCTGCCATCATGCTCGTTTTCTTCTTTTTTTTTAGGTCAGTAGCTTCAGTGCGCGTAAAGTTCTATTTGTGCTGGCTTTCCCAACAGAGTTCTACATCTTTCAGGTAACAAAACACATCATTAACCAAATAAAACGTCAACGATGTGCGCCAAAAACTATAAAACGTGCATTTCTAGAACTCACTTGGCTGCAGAAAAAAAAAAAAAGAGAGAGACACAAGGTAGTCGTGTCTGCTTTAACGTAGCTAACGTAGCTCGAAAAGGGGCATATACTAAATAAATAAAAACAGGAAGGGCGCAGAGAAAGACGGACGAGATAGTAATCGTTACTTACATCAGCAAACAACATAGGGGAAAAGTGCGGGATGAGTTCACGGGCAGCAGCAGGAGCACGAATGCCCGGCTGCGCGGTGGAAGCTCGATAACCAAACAGACCCCGTACAAGGTTGACTACAACGCGAAAAACAAAGAGGAGAAGAAGGAGGGGAAGAGGCACGAACGCTGTAAAAAAAAAAAAAGAAATGAGAAAGGCAGCGACGCACGCTCGGCTAACGACGGCGGCAAAACACCCCTAATTTGGACGAATTAAAATTTGCATCACAGAGGAGCGCCGCCGACGGCACCAGATGTCCGCTTCGGTTCGCTCGGCTTGCCGCCTTGATTGGAGGGAGAAAGAAGAGACGGGGAGAGAGAGAGAGACGTGGAAAAGGTAGGGAGAGAGGGAAAGGAAAGCGGGGGGAAGGAAGCCCAAGCGCAGCCGCGTCACTTATTTAGCCACGCAATTTGGCTGTCCGCAGCTGAACACTGTTACGTTGGCCGCGGTGTTGGCTTTCCAGAGTCGACACGCAGGCCTTGTTCAACCGAGCTCCGCACACCCGCTGCGACGACTTGGTCGCAGCTCGGTCGACTCGAACGAAGCCCGCAAGCTTCCGTGAACTCTCGGCGAAACACAAAAGCTCCTCCGTGTATAGAGTTTAGCCTGGGTAAATGAAACTAAGGAGTGCCGCTGTGGCGCTAGTGAATGTATACGTTCTGCGCGCGTGCATGACAAAAGAACCAGTGCGTCCGTGTGAAAAAAAAAAAAAATAAAAGTGCCGCCGCTAAGCCTTTCTTTCAGCTCGTTGTCTCGGCGTCTTCGCATTCCGTCGCGCGCCGTGCCCGCTGGTTGGTTCGCCGTCATTCCTGTATCTAGTTTCCCAGAGGGTCCCCCCCATAAATGCGATTCGGTTCCCACATCCAGGTCCGCCCGTAGTAGACAGCCGACGCTTTTCCACTTGCTCTGCAGTCGTTATCTTGAGAAAGACGGATGACGGTTTCAAGCTCGGCTCTTTAAATAGCGATGAGCGGCGAAGCCAGAACGCTTTGTTTCAGACCCCAGCATTTGTCCACGCAGGAAGGACAACGCTACAATGCTAAGCGGCAATGTACACAAAGCCGCGAGGCGAACCAGACCTTGCGAACAGAGCTCGGCGACCGTTCCCTTTCTCACGGTTCAAGAACTGTTTCTGGCTGTGCGCCTGTATTAAGACACTGCTTATACCTATAGGTCAGACGGTGCGCGTGAGCGCACGATTATGCAGCGCAGGTCTCACACGACTTACTCAATTACTGTTCCACGCCAAAATCTACTGATGGTAACGAAGCACATTACTTGATGGTAATGTGCTTCATCACCATCAAGTAACTCCTTCACGGTGCGCAATAATTACGAGAAGAAAAAAAAATGCACCGCTATTTGATCGGGCGTAGAATAAAACCACGGTTTACACGACATGGGCATGATCGTGGTTTCTGTCCACAACCGTCTATTTTAAGAGTGTCTGTCCGGTACAGAGTGGTTCGCCGATTCGACTTTTCGCCCGGATCGAGCTGCTCCCAATGCTGCATGCTGAATGTGGCCGCATTCTTCATAACACAACAAACGCGAGTATAAACCGAGCCCGTGTACTCACCCCGGGTGTTCTCGCTTGAGGCCCGTAGGGATACCGCGTCCAGTTCAGGATACTCTCTGTCGTTGTGTCGAGGAGGACGACTGTGAGAAGAAAAAAAAAAAACAGCCGTGTTACGACGACATTCACGCGTGAAACTATCTAAAACGTAGTCGCACAAACACGCCACGACCCATTGTCACAACGAAAATTTCAATATGGCCAGCAAAAGGTCGAAGTCATCACTACGAGAGCAGCGACGCCCAAGCGTATACAAATGAAAAGGAAGAAAAATCAACAAACAACAACAACAACAAAAAAGAACAATCTTTACCTATACCACGAAGTTCAGAAAAACTAGTGGCTCAAAGCGACGTATTTCCAGTGTGTGTAGGCTTCAATAAAAGCACGACGTTCATCGCGTTCAAAGCGACGCAGAAACATTTAGATCAAACAGCTTGAAAAGCCCCTAAACCACCTTTGAAAATACAAAGAAAGATCGCGTAATTCTCTATCCGGCGTTTCCAGTCCTTGCGGCACAGTTCGCGACGTCAGCTGTTTGTTCACGCGGAGGCAGAATGAAATAAGCACTCGACTGGTCGATACACGAGATATATCTGTTACGATTGGTCGTTTACACTGCTTTGCCGTGCAGTCGTATATGACCGGTCTTTCTAGTCTCGCATAACTATCGTATACGCGACAAGATGATTTCAAATCGTTTTCTGCGTTTGCAACTGCGCAAGCGTAAGTGGCAACGTGTAGGCGGAAATTGCCAAATCCTGACTGGTCCAACAATCTGTGCTCACATTTCACGTGTTTTCTGAAAAAAATGAGCGGCGAGGTGAAGATATTCCTCGTGGGAAACGTATACCAACAAGATACTGGCGCCTCGCCTCTGAACTATAGGCGTGGTTTAGAGGGTCCTTTTAAGCACAAAAAAGAAGGTGCCTTTTATAAGCGCTGCGGATGACACAGTTAACGTTAGTCACAACTGTACTACATCAAACGCGTGCAATACGTTCACAACACCCATGCAAAATCAAAGTAGCCACTCGATCAATTTTCACGGAACAATCGCCGTTTCCAACGCGACGTTCGCCATGAGGGGGGCTGGAAATCTATTTCCGTATGACCTCCAGGTCAATGAGTTCTCGTGAACGTCAGTGAGAGTACACAATACAGACTACCAATCGCTCCCGATCGCTCGCCCATCGTTCGCACAAGCAGCGGACGTCAAACAAAAGCGACCAGCGAGAGTTCCATAACCTCAGAAGTGTGGCAGCTTGGGCTATAAGTTGGTGTCTTTCGTGTCCTTCTTGTCTCTTTGTCGTCGTCCTGTTCTCGCGCTATAACTATCCATAATCTCGTCGTTCTTATTGCGTACAAGCCGAGAAAAAAAAAAAGAAGTCACGAGCGGCGAAAAAGGAAACTTCTTCGTCGCCAAACACGGCACACCGAAGCTAATCTTCCGAAGCTCCTGTATGAAAGCGAGAAACGAAAGCGATCCTACTTAAATTAGAAACGGAGGGAGGTCATCACGGAGGAAAAACCCGGACACACCCGGCTCACGGCGCCGTATATCCGGGTAGAAACCGAAGAGCCAATTTGAAAATATATAATATATAGACGACGGGAGCGCACGGTGTAAGCCGAGTTATGAGGTGTACATGTGCCCTGCCCGGCTTGGCGAGAGACCGCGTACGACGCTCAAACGCCAGCTCTGTGGGTGGCTCGTGGGTGGGTAGAAATAAAAGAGGGCGGAGGTTGGGGGCAACACGACACGCTCTCACAGCGGGCGCTGTCACCACTGCGCGCCGGTCCAGTTTATCAAGAAACTTCATATAGGCGTGATCGGGTGGTAAGCAGTTCGCGCGTGCAGCAAAAGGGGGAAAAAAAAAGGAGGTGAAGTGAAAGCGAGAGTGTATAGGGGGGGGGGGGGGGGGGAGGCGCGAGCGAGTCTCATTATTTGCATATTTTCCTCGTTTGAGGAAGAGAGAGTGCGTTTCTTGTTCGCTGCCGTCCCCAACCCGCGATTTCGACGACCCCCCCCCCCCCACCACCAAAAAAAAAATTACGTTCCTATATATGCGATAACTTTTCGGCGCGCTTTCACTGTACTCAGTACGTCGCACGCTTCTCAATGCGACCACAGGAGTTAATCGTAATCACGCCTCGGAAACAGAAGAAATATAAATAGAGATCAAGTAAACGGACAGCAGAATGAGCGCGGTGGCGGAGGGGGGGGGGGGGGGAGCAAGCAGAATTTGAGACGGGGAAAACACAGCTAGGAATAATATTTCGGGAGCACACAGTGAGACCCAGCGGCAGCATGTCTCGCTCGCCGTCTGCGGGGTCCACGGCTTGGGCCAGCAAAGCCGCGGCTCGGTTGAAACCCGCGCCAAATGAATGAACCTTCACTCCCGACCGAGCGAGGGGCGAGCCGGAAACGTAATGCCCACCCGTTCTGCATAGCTATAGCTGGAGCTGGCCGTCGTGTCTCGTATCCTCGCGATCACGGCTGCGTTTAATTGGCCCCGCGCTCGCCCCATCTTACAGCGCGGCGTTGTGTAAGCGCCCTTTCGTTCCGCCCGTGGCGCTCGTTGCGATTACGAGTGCTTTAGAACAGCACAGTCGTATAATCGCTACGCCGGGCGGCCCGGTTCCCATGGAAACGCATATAATGTCGAGCTTTTTGCTTCCCCACAGGCAGCTTTCCGAGCTTCGCGGAAAACTTTTGGCCTATAACCTAAGTATAGTGCAGAAAATCGAGCCGATTCGGACGCCCACGAGAAACGAAATCGTCTTGCCCACCCTTAAACTTGACGAATTTCCATTTATACTACGTCGTGAGTGTTTTATTCGACATGCCGAAAAAAAAAAGCATACGAACGTTTTTTTTTTCTATTGTGTGCATAAGATCGCGCATAAAATAAGACGCCATATTGCACACTTATCAATACAGCGCCAACGGTGTTAACGTAATGGTTGGGCTTCATCTATGTGATAGTAGTCGTTTTGGTTAACGATACCCTGGAAGACCTGACACCTTTCAGTAAGCCAGCTTTCTTCTTACCATTTCAAATGTTATCAGTTCATTTCGTGCAATGAGCGTTTGTATATGGCGGCAATATAACAGCAGGAATACACGCCGCTAGCTCCGACACAAGTTCGTTGTATGTATGTATGTATGTATGTATGTATGTATGTATGTATGTATGTATGTATGTATGTATGTATGTATGTATGTATGTATGTATGTATGTATGTATGTATGTATGTATGTATGTATGTATGTATGTATGTATGTATGTATGCGAAAGGGATAACTCAGAATACTATTCGTTATTCTTTCTCAAATGTGTGGACACAAGATTAGCGTGTTCCAAATGATATCTAACCATACTTACACAGAATAATCTTTCATCTGCCAGCGTGCGCAAGTGTGTTATCTCTTTAGACCAGAGGAACTGCGGCGACAAGCGTTTTGCAGTATGCTCCAGCACTCCAAACGAGCAAAATGTTCACGTCTGGTGTTGCAACTCTGTACACAATAGCAAAAAGCGACAAGGCTGATTGATGACAAAGTTCCGCTATCATTCTTCGTTTTTTTTTTCACATACTTTAACGCTTCCGGGTACGCGCCAAAACGGCCGTTAACGCCGAGATCGCTTAACGTCGCAGCGCAGAAAGAGAACGACGCCACCGGTGCTTCCGTATAGCAGACGCTACGACGTGATGTGCGTCTCCAAACAGGGGGATGCACAGTTTCTGCGTGTTCAACTTTTTTTTCTCTCAACAGCTTCCATGCGGTAATATACAAAAGGAAAGGCATTCGAGCACATCCCCCCCCCCCCTTACTTTAAGCGATTGTGCACGCAATAATAATAAAAAAGGATGACAAGAATCGAGTGATGAAAGTGGGCTTTAATAACTGAAGAAAGTGTACAGGTTTTTTTTTTTTTTTGTTGGGGGGGATAGGTGGGAGCATCAAATTATAGGCTACAAGCACTACAAGCACAACCCCACCCATTGAAACAGAGAGGGGGGGGGGGGGAGAGAAAGAAAGCAACTTCCAACATGTGCAGAAAAGATTTCACCAAAGGTGAACAGTGAAGTCCAAGACTACAAAATATCGCCGCCTGCGCTGGGGCGTCGCTGAGTCGTGATACATATTGTATGACAGTATCGAGAAAGTGCCCGGAATGACGGTCGTAAATTATGAACGACGAAACCTCTATTAATGCGCGACCACGCGACCAGAGGACGGAAGCAACGTAGCGGCCAGCCCCTGAGACGTAAGCGGTTAAGGCTACCACCCCCACTGCTACTCTCCTACCGCCTTCCGTAGCGACACTTCCTTCACCTCCTACTTCGCCACATTGCACGCACGTTAAAAGGGAAGCCCGCCGTGGCGACGCGAGACAGATCCCGGTCGGATCTCTACGTGCCGAGACTTTCAGCGACGATATACGGAAGGCATTACGGGTGCTAGCTCAAACTGCGAAGATGTTCGCTGGGATTCCGTCCGAGGAGACAGCAGCTCTGTGCACATGTTTTTCGCTTTCTACTTTACGCTGGTAACTGCTTTATTACATTCAATTCTTTTTTTAAGGGGGCAAAGTGCTGAGTGCTGAAGCATTTGACCATACAGCGAGGACTGCTAAAATAGAGGAAAGTACGCACACGAAAGCACGGTTAACAGGACACAAAGGGGCGCCAGCAGTGTATCGCGCTTGTTTCCTACGATTCAGTAACAGTGTTATCGACAGTGTCCCTGTGTTAATATGCTAGTGACGTGAAGTTAAATACGAAAGCTTCGTCACGCTTAGAAAGCAGCCGCTGCGCCCGATTGAGTCAATTCTTTGGTATACCGTAAGTGCTGACTAATGTTAATTGAGCCTGCTTTGGCATCAAGTACGGTGTCTAGGACATAGAAAATTAAAGACGGTGCTACAAACGGGCCATAGAAAGGCTGTTTATGAAGATATAGCGCATTCACAAAAATAAAAATAATAGCCTTTTGTTTCGCTCTCTACATGAGAGCAAAACCAAAAGAGTAGGCCCGGCGGATCCTCCCCCGCGGGCCCTAGAGCACCTAAAG